GGTGCTTACATCACAGAACCACTTCTTTCTCACTGTTTTGGAAGCAGAAGTCCAAGGTAAAGGTGTCGGCAGGGCTGGTTTCTTGGGAGGCCTCTCTCCGTGGCTCGTAGCTGCTGTCCTCCTCATGGGTCCCCACCGGGTCTTCCCATGTGCCTCTCTGTGTCCTCATTTCCTCTTCTTAGTAGAAGGCTGGTTGTATTGTTTTAGGGTCCATGGTAATGACGTCATATTAATTACCTTTTAAAGATCCTGTGTTCAAATGCAATCACAGGCTGAGATACTGGAGGGTTCGGACTTCATCTATTGAATTTTGTTGGTGGGGACAGGAGTTCGTCCACAGTGCATTCCTTCTCCAGTCCCCAGAATGGCTTTACCCTGACTTAGCAAGCAAGAGATCTGATGTTCAAACAGAAAGATTTTCATGTGGAAACATGAACTGGCTCTACTGGTATAAAAAGAAATCTAAATAGAAAAAGAAAAGAAAGGAAGGAAGGGAGGTAGGGAGGGAGGGAGGGAGGCTGGGAGCGGTGGCTCAGTCCTACAATCCCAGCATTTTGGGAGGCCGAGGCAGGCAGATCACGAGGTCAGGAGTTTGAGACCAGCCTGGCCAACATAGTGAAACCCCGTCTCTACTAAAAATACAAAAATTAGCTGGGTGTGGTGGTGGGTGCCTGTGATCCCAGCTGCTCAGGAGGCTGAGTCAGGAGAATCGCTTGAATCCGGAGGCAGAGGTTGCAGTGAGCCGAGATTGCGCCACTGCACTCCAGCCCGGGAGACAGTTCGAGACTGTGTCTCAAAACAAAAAAGAAAGAAAGAAACAAGAACTGGTCTTGTCTAGTTGACACTGTAAACCAAGAAGTATGTGAAACAGATCACAATTAACTCAGAAGTTTATTTTGCCAAGGCTCAGGACATGCCGGGAAGGGAAAAACTACGGGATCGCAGAGGCAGTCTGTGCTGGGTGCCTCCCTCCAAAGGGCTTCACTGTTGTAAGCGGAAAAGTGGGCCAGAGGGGAAAAAGGAGAATGTGGTTATCACTGAGCCCATGGGCTACAAGGGAAAAGGAGCAGGCGGGGAATCGTCAGTTCTGCGTCATCTAATGCTCAGTAAATCTGCATTTCACCTAAGACAAGGTGGACGAAGAGCTGCTACCTGAGATGTTTAACCTTTTATCTGTAGCTCTCTGCTTAGGAGCAAAAGGAAAGGCAGCTTCTTGCATGACTCATCTTTCCGATTAATTTTTTTTTCCTTCTGGCAGAGTGAACTGGGGTCCTGAGCTTTCATTTTCCTTTCGTGACACCGTCTGAACACCTGTGTCATCTCAGAGTGGTGACCAAAATGCCCAGGCCTCATTTGGAGTATAAGCGCTCATCTGCCCAGCCAGACCCAGGGTTTTCAGGACACTCCTTAGAGTGGTCTCTGGGCCGAAGCAGAGTTGGCGTGGGCGCCCACCCAGGTCCCGTGCCCTGAGTGCTGGGCCACTGTACGGCTCAGCACGAGACTCAGGTGCACAGCCCTTAGATCCACCCATGCATCGGATTCTCCTGCCTAACGCTCTGTCCCTGTCCCTCCCCCAACAGAATTTGGGGTCTTCATGTGGTTTTTGGTCACTCTTAGCTAACTCCAACCCCTAGGGGTTGTCCCTGCCTCAGGGTTGACTGTTGCCATTGGGGCTCCAAGTGCCCAGAGGCCAAGCTCCAGCAAGGGTGGAAGATGAGCTAATTGTGTAACTAACAAAGCCTAAAGGGGGATCCCTTCTCCATGCCATTTAGTCGGGGAGCTTTAAATATCTTGCTCTAATACCTGATTAAGGTGCCAGGCTTCTATGAGCAAAAACTGGATTGTTTGTGCCTCATAAACCGGATTCCTGATCCCAGAATACTCAGCCAGAGGGCTTCCTCTCATCTAGGAAGACCCTTTCCCTATTCTGCCATTGATTTGGACTCTTCCTGTTACAGGCTGACTCATCTATATTCTTCTTCATAGCCTGCAGTTATTTCTTGTTAAAATAGCCAAAGGTAGTTGGGCTTTCATTCAGATTGTTATTTGTCTTTAGGGCTAACTCAAATGGTTTATTTAATAACTACCAGCTTTGTTGCAAATATCATTAACTGGTCAAGACGTTGGATAAAATAAACTATTCAAGTGGCTGGTGTGTTTGAACAAAGTCGCTCTGGGAGAACAGCAGAAACTCCTTTGCTGCAATGAGGCTGGGAGGGGTGCCTCGTACCCTAACGGGGTTGGTAGGGGCTCCGCTACCAGAAGGGGGGGTTTGCTAGCACATGGAGAGAAATCCACATCTGGATTTAGCACCTCAAGAGACAAAGACAATTTTTCCAATTAAAGTCACTTTAAAAATAAACTCTGAAGGTGATGGAGCCTTTGCTGGCACCATGGCTCATGCCTTAATCCCAGTAATTTTGGAGGCTGTGGTGGGAGGATTCTTTGAGGCAGGAGTTTGAGATCAGCCCTGGCAATGTAGTGAGACCTATTCTCTACCAAGAAAAAAAAAAAATTAGCTGGGAGTGGTGGCATATGCCTGTGGTTCCAGCTCCCCGAGAGGCCGAAGTGGGAGGACAGCTTGAGCTGAGGAATTTGAGGCCACAGTGAGCTGTGACTGCACCACTGCACTCCAGCCTG